CACACACACACACACACACACACACACACATTCAGAAGGCACCATGAGCTTTACATATCTGCACTGTTTTTTTGAAAAGACAGTGTGATGATAAAATAACCAATTACCTTTTTATGAAGACCAATTAATCCTCTTTTGGTGGGAAGGACACCAGAGCTTTCCACGTTTCTTCCCATTTCCTCTTGGTACTCAGGGGGACACTGAAATGAGATGACACGCAGAACTTCGCTGTAAAAAGTGCACCGTTAGATTTTGCATGTTCACGTAGAAAGGAAAAGGCCTAGTTGACTTAAAGAACAAATGGACTCACCTTTGTCAAAATGGTGTCCACACACTTCCGGAGAGAGTGGTTGTACCTGACAGATTCATGGACAGCTGCCACCTCCTAAAAATATAAAATATGTTTGTACTTGCTGGAGTAAAAATAAAAGCTATGGTCTAATGTTTATAAATGTGGGTGTGTGAATGACCAGTCCGTCAGCAGATGCGACACAGCAGCGGTAGCTACAATGTAATCTTAAGTGGCAACTGTGACAGTCCTTGAAATGTCAACTTACTTTTTTTCACCAATTAACATTTAAATTGTTATTCTGGGTCTTTGCTAAGAGACTGTGTCTTTACTCTGGACTGATTCCAAAAGTTTTAAATGAAAGTGCCTTTCATTTACACACTGACATTTATAAACACAGGGCCCAGTTAGAAAACTAATGGAATTCCCCTTCATCACTGTCATAACACTGAATAGCTGACAAAACCTCACCCCCATAACATCTTCTAGGTTCTCCTCAGCTTCTGCCTTCTCAGTCACCATTTTTGCCGCTTTGAAGTAAGTCTTGGCCAGCAGGTAACCAAGGGAAGACGAAAGCCAATAAGAACGCGGGATCTCCACCAGGCCGTAGCCTAGCAACAGCACCAGAAGGAAGAGACCCCACGTGTTGGCAGCTGTGATACCGATGGTCTGAAGGTCCGTCCTGTACAAGTTTTACAAAGACAGATCATCAATACACTTAAATACCAGCCTACAAACAACAACCACAGTGCAACATTAGAGCCATTCAGCCATGTTTTCATTTAAAGTTTACTTAATGTACCATGTGAGTTTCCACTGAGGATGAGCAGCCGCGTAGATGAGCAGAGAGATGAAGATCAGGAGGTAGGTGCCATAGTAGACTGCATTTTCAATTAGAGCTGTTTTAATCTTCCCAACTCTGGAGAAAGCTCCAGACCGAGCATAAGACTGCATGAAGGGCAACAGCAGCCTGTGTAATCAGGAGACACACAAAACACACACACACACACACACACACACACACACACACACACACACACACACACACACACACACACACACACACACACAGAAAGAGAGGGACAGAGACGAAAGGTGTCAGTATATCAGAACATAATTGTCTATATAATAGAAGGTGGATAACATTATTTATAGATAGTCATGTGTGTGTGTGTTAGGGTCACCAAGTTAGAAACTGAGAGGTCCAGTACACAACTCTCCAAAACACTGGTAGGACACCATCTGGAATATAACTCCAAGGCTCCTCACACACCTTCAGTACACTGTAACAAACAAACACACGCACACAAATGCATGTGCACGTGACATTACACGGGTCTATAAAGCTGATATAAAGAAGTTTAAAGCAGTTTAGGCACATGCTCGGCCCCACCAACTTTAGACATTGAACATTAACAATGTTTTATGCATTGCAATCATGTGTTTTGACATCACAACTATAACACAACCTCAATGCAAGAAACACTTTAAATTGTGACGGAGTGGAAGCAAGGCAAAACTGTTCATGAAAAGACGTGTTGCACAATTTCACAATCGTTTTTTTTTGTTAGCACCACAAATTAAATTCACTTCGCTTCCACTGCACCTGGGATATCAACATGGCTGAATACAATAGATTTTGGGATGAACGAGCCCTTTAAGTCAACACTGTGTGCTGATATCATGAAACAGAGAGATAAGTCTATAAACCCAGATCAAAATAAAACTGAAAGAGTTCCATGGCCACACTGCTGCAGAAAAAAATGACTGAACAGCAAGCAATAATCAAATTCAGCACTTTAGGTCAAATTATCACCCAGCAAAACATTTTCAATGTGAAACACAAAAAAGGTTTTATTTACCTTACAGATGGAGAAAGAGATGAGATGTCTTCAGTCTGATTGGTGCGTCTTGCTTGAGCTACAATAGTTGGGTGGTTTGAATTGTCCAGGACACACTGCCTGTAGATGGTCTGAAGAGCGGAGCAGAGTTTTCACAGACTCAAGATGAAGAAGGTGAGACATTAGAAGCAGGAGCAGTGTATTTAAACACACAGTTTAGCATATTATTCTCAAATAAGACACATTAAAAACCATGGTGAGAAACATGATGTCCTACCGTGCTGACATCGAGTGGGAGGATGAAGACGATGAGGAAGCAGAGGTACCAGGAGAGCAGCGTCCCGAACAGCACCATACGCTGCTGCTTCCGCAAGTCTCCATAGCGCTGGAGGAGGTAGAGGGCCAAGAAGAAGACCACCACGACCACCACGGCCAGTGCGGCACCACTCATAGTGATGAGTGGACATGCAGACGTTAGGAGCTCATGGTGACGGACTGGAGGAGGAGAGGGCGAAAGACACAGAGGGACAGATAAACAAGGCCAGAGAGAGAGGAACTCATTTTACGAACTGCAAACAGTTCGGATATCAGGCCTTATCTGTTCGATAACGGAGAAACAATCTGACCTGCACACTCAGGCCAACACATGACATTATACAGAGATGAGGTAAGGAGTTGAGAAGAGAGCAGGAGGAAAAGAACAAGGAAAAGAGGTGGAGAGAAGAAAGAATGGAAATATAAAAAAAACAGAAGCAAAAGAGGCAGGTGAAAATCAATGTTTTGAAACTTGATAACACTTATTTACTATGAAGATGTTTGTATTCCAGTTTACCATTTGGTAAATCCAAATTGTGTTTTAGAAATGTGGTACTTTCTACTATTCCAGGATTTCCATTCATTTCTATACAATAAATGTATTAGAATAATTTTTTTCCAGGCGCATTATTCGGAAGGTGATGTTTCTAACTCTTTCTTTTAAATCATTGATGAAGACTTTCCTGTTAGCCACCGTCTTTTATGAAATCAAACAATTACTCATTTGTTACACTGCACTGTTACTTTCACTCCTTTATTTCGAATTTAATGTATTTATCTAATCTCTGTGTAGCTCTTTTTAATTTATTTCTAAAAGCTTCTTTTTGTATTGTCTCATGTTGTGTTGTGATTGCCCATGGTGCCTTGTTGTGAAAATGTGCTTTACAAATGAACTTGCACTGCTGACACAGTAAAGACTCTTTCTATCAACCATTTCAAATGTTGTTGTTAAACCTGCTTCTAATCGTTTTTGACAGAGAGATGTTGACCATGTCATGATGTATATATGCAATCATAGAATCATTGATCGATATCGAGCATTTGTTGTTGACACCACACGGTGCTCTCGTAGTGTTGACTACTGATCCAGAGTCTGTTCAGTGTAGCGTATTTATAGCGGAGAAGCAGAGATTCTTACCTGGTGAGGCTCCTCTGTCAGTCTGAGGCTGGTGAGCTGATAAACAGTCTGGAGCATAGACTGTATATAAAGAGGTCTGGAGACAGTCACTGCGTGTTCGCTCCGACCAATGTACACAACCTTTGAATCCACGTTGCGTAACGAGCGTACAACATGTTCACTTCTGGCGCCGCACGGAATCCTGGGAATTGCAGGCGCCACGACAGGAAGCCGGTTCACTGGGATCCTCGCTGACACACAGTTGTAGTCCAATAAAAACAATTAAGAACCGAAATTCTGAAAGAATTAAATTAGCATGGACATCACGTGACCGAAATCACATGACTTGGTGGGGTTGATGTCATAGAAAGGGGTGGGGCATACTAAAGTGATGTAGAATATGAGCTACAGTTGTCAGTCAGGAGTTAATGGTAAATACTGCCCCTGTCTGTTTAAACTAATTGATTGTCTGGTTTAATAGAATGTTTTGAATTAGTTTCATAGTTTCTTTATTTTATATGTCTATATGAATTACTGACATTTCTATGAATAATACACATTTTCAGCTTTCTGTCCTTTTTTCATAAAGCTTTTGAAAAATTGTTAAGATTGAGCATGTATAAATCAGGGTGATTTATTTAAGTCTAATACAAGTGTCCCAGATTACAAAGTGATCACTCCCAGATTATCATCTTTTTTTGGCACAAAGAACACTAAAAGCTGTGCCATGTCTCCTCTGAGTGTGATATCTCCATTCTCTCTTCAGGTGTGGTTTGAAAACATCATGAGGATTGCACAAAGGTTGATCTAATGTGTAAAACAGATATTGGAATAAGTCACAGATGTCAGAATTGCCAAAAATGTACCCGAATTCACCATATGTATACAGTTTGTGTGTATAAAATACTTACCATGGTCTGGTAACTACATTTTCTATTAGATGTCCATTGAGCCACAAACTATGGAAAAAGTAAACACATCAAATTTTATTCAAATCAATAGTAGAAACCAAACCGGTTGGCCAATAGAATCAGCCAATATGAGCCCTTCACAGCACATGTACTATGTTTGCTGAAGTACATGAGTATGGAAATGTTGGGATCTGAAGTTCTCCTCCCTCCTTTTCCTCGTTTCCCTTTCTTCCTGTGTGTATGTGTGTATGTGTGTGTGTGTGTGTGCTGCTGCAGGGCGCAGATGACTGCTCCAGCCTGCTTCCTCCTCACCTGATCACACATGATCACACCTGTTTCCTATCATCATGTAACTGAGGTCCAGCCTCCATGTTTAAGCTGCGGCTCTGCACTCAGTTTTTATTGAATTTTCGCTCTGTCTCTTTCCCGGAATTTCGGATTTGGGCCAAGTTCTTGTGTTAAACAGATTTATGTCATGATGATAAAAATCATCATCAACAGCTGGGTTAGATATTTTATCATATTGGGACAATTTCCTACAACGGTTTATTGCCTCATTCATACATTAAATTGAAACATAACAACATTATGCAGAGAGTATAATGTTCAGTTATTCTAAAACTGATTCTCACACACACACACATGCAAACACAGATTAAGGCCAGCGTTTCAACTTCAAAAGGACAATTTAATCCAATATGGTTCAAGCTGAATTTATTTAGTTGCCAGGGAACAAAAACATATCAATGTTGCTACTTATCAATGTTGTATGAGACATATGATTGGTCTACACAGTCTTGATGAATCTCAGATCTGGTCATGTGAAATGTTAACATTCATTTCTGGGAGCAGAATAAAATGAAATCAGAAACACGTTTCTTCACTAGTTTTACGATTTAATTATGGTGTATTACGTTTATGGTCAGCACAGTTCAACATAATAACAAATACAATTATTTAGCACAACAATCCGACATGACAGCACAACAATAATGTGTCAGATGTAATCTAAACTGTTACATAACTTTGCTTTGTAAACAACTCAATTATTCAGCTTTTTATTATAAGAAAAATCCTTTAGATTCATATTTTATCTTAGTATTCTCAAATGTCCATAAAGCCAACCTAAAACAACCAAGAGGAAACTTTGAAATGCAACGCATTTGATGGAGAGCTCTGCTATTACCTCATGTCTAAATTATTGCAAAGTTGAACAGTGTTTATACTGGAAAAACAAGAACATAAATAATTATAATATCTTCGGCCATTTCAGTTTCCGAGGAACATCCACACATAGGGGTCATCAGCAAACATCGGGCCCAGTAGGTTGACACACACAGCTCGGTGTTCCAGTAAGAAATCCGTCTGACTTAGCAGATCCAGACACAGCTGCTCTACAAGATTCAGACAAATGGACCAGTGTTCAGCTGCTCTGCACAGTCCCAGTGTGTCCATCCAGACTGAGCCAAACACGTCCAGAGACTCTGGCCAGTCCCCCAGAAAATGCTCCATAAACTCCATCCTTGTTTTTTCTACTATCTATATATTCTCTGCCAGAGGGAGTTGTCCACTGTGTCTGTGTTGGTCAGTTTGCAGTCCTCAGATTTACAAGTCACTTTACTCCTCTTTCAGACTTTGCCTCCATCTTGTTTCTGCAGATTAAACCTGGCAGCATGTGCAGGTGATTAGTGTCCATCTGTCAGCCGACATTCTCTCCTTAACACCCTCCAGCCAGATCTCTCGGTTAATGTCAAATCCATGTGACCATTCAGGCTCTAACTATATCATCAGTTTTCTTAGTGATAAACCTGTGTGAGGGATATTTAGCAACTATTTATTCTGTTTTAAAGAATATGGAATATCAAGTTTTTTTTCAAATCATTAACACTCAGCAAACCCAGCAATTTACCAGTAAACAGATTCGACCTGTTTGTATTTGGACTATGTGAGGAAATAGGAAAAACACTTGAGATTTGAGTCTTTGTCCCAAGAAATGATGAATGTGCAATTTGTTGATAAAAACGAAGCGTCATTCTGGTCAGTAGGTCATTCAAATAGTTCAGCATAAACCAGCACCAACAGTTTTTTTCTGCTTCAATAAAAGTTTTGAGACAGCAAATGGAAAACTATTGCATTCGTAATAAATATTTTTATAAATATGTAGAAGTTAGAAGTCCAAAAAACGAAACGTGATTCAAAAAGCAGCTGTTGTTGGGGATGTGCTTATTTTCTTTCCTTCCTGATGGAAAGATTGATGCCGATCTGAAATCTGCAAGGTGAATATGAAGCTCAGTGATAACATTTTTGTTTTGTTTTTGTTTCTTTATATATCAGTGTAGAGTTACCTCCACTAGATGGGGCTAATGAATTTATCCTGAAACTTCTGTAGCATTACAGTTAGGGTTAGATTAAGATTAAGTTTGTGAAAAAAGTACAAAA